ATAATACATCATACAAAATGTAATCAGATGGAAAGTCTCTTTTTAAAACTTGTTTTATTAGTTTTAAGCTTTTAACTTTATGCATCAAGCAAAAAATTTATTATATGCAACATTCTCTGACTGGAAGAATTAATTTACTTTTAAACCTATTTTCTGCACATTCCAGCACATAAAATAAAATAGGTTTTTGTGTTTACGCTCACTCTTTCAAATAGATGCATGTAGGGATGGGTATTGATAAGATTTTCACGATTCCGATTCCATTTTCGATTCTGTTTAACGATTCAATTCTTTATCGATTCTCTTATCGATTCTTTTTAAAAAGGAGAACACTAACTTTGTTTGTTAGAACTTTGTTTTATATCTTCTCTTTGAACAAGATAGAAATTTAGGAGTAACATGGCCTTACAAACCCAACAGTGAGATCTTAAGAGATCCAGCCTACGGCTCTTCAATGGGGTGTCACAGGGACCCCAGGAAAAAAAATTGTAAATGTATAATAATTAAATAAATATTCTTCTGTAGCAATAACAAAGTATAACATAAACTACTATAGGCAGCACGGTGGCACGGTGGTTAGCACTGTTGCCACACAGCAAGAAGGTCCTGAGTTCAATTCCACCACCAGGCCGGGGTCTTTCTGTGTGGAGTTTGCATGTTCTCCCCGTGTTTGCGTGGGTTCCCTCCGGGTACTCCGGCTTCCTCCCACCGTCCAAAGACATGCAGCTTGTGGGGATAGGTTAATTGAATAATCCAAATTGTCACTAGGTGTGAATGAAAGTGAGTGCGAATGGTTGTCTGTCTCTGTGTGTTGGCCCTGCGACAGACTGGCGACCTGTCCAGGGTGTACCCCGCCCCTCGCCCTATGACAGCTGGGATAGGCTCCAGCGCCCCCCGCGACCCTGAAAAGGATAAGCGGAAGCGAATGGATGGATGGATGGAACATAAACTATTCTGTAGCAATTACACAAGAATATCCAGTAATGTCCCTGCCTACAATTAAACACATTCACTTACCGAAATTGGGGGCATCTGCTGTGGTAAATGGGTGCAAGCCTTTGACCACAAACTGAGTCACTGCTCGGTGACATTTATGGGCAGAAATCTGTGCCATCTGAAACTGAATTTGAATAAGTTAAATTTGAATTTGAATTGCTAGGCTTGAATCTGAATTGTAACTTGAATAAATGCTTTTAAAAACTGAATTTGAATTAGTCTAATTTGAAATTCAATTTATTGGTTTGAAAATGATCATAACTAAATTGAAATTGAATTTTATATTTGAAAATGAATTGATTTGCTTTGAAACTGCATTTTATCCTTTAAAAATTTAGCTCTCGAATAATTTCAGTTTCACTTCTCACCATTCAGTTTCAGTTCTACAATTCAATTTCAGTTCCAAAATTCAGTTTTTTGGAACTTACATCCAGTTCCGGTTCAAGTGCAGATTAATAGAACTACGTTTTACTAGCGGACCGAAAGTGTTACTGACGGGAAGTAACTTTTATGCTTATTGTAGCTGTTAGCTAAAACGCTAATTTAGCGTAGTTTGCCCTGAATTCAGCTTTGACAACAAATATGATCGACTGTTTCTAGTAGAATTCCAAAATTGTCATCTTGGACCCTCTCAGAGTACCCCCTCTGTATGCTTGCAGAGACCCCTACAGTAGGGAAACATGCAAAACTGTCCAAACCTTTGTATTTTAGCTTTATTTATATCTTACACAGCATCCCAACTCTTTAGCTAACTGAATAACTTTAGCTAAAGTGAATAGTTAGTCTAATTCATTAGTGCAGCATTACTGGATCACCTCTGTTTGAAGTGATATAATGTGATATACAACTATCACTGAAACAGCAAACTTTGTAAATAAGCAAACAACACTTCTCATTCTCTAAACGTTTGGCCACAGCTGTAGATTACACTATCAGTGCTTGTTCACTCTTGACAATAATAACATTTCTAAATTCTCTTTGTGCATTTACAGGTAAACAATATCTAATATTTTATCTAAATGACTACTTTGTCTTTGAAAAGGGTGAAGAGCCTGAGGCCGGTGACAGTCCAGTTCTACTCTAAGTACATCCTTACTGTAGCTCACAGGACAAGGCCACATTCCTGTCCTGCCAGAAGAGAAGAGAAACTTCAGAGTCTTCATGCAGTTCAACCACACCTGTCATATTCCATATGACAGGGGTCTCAAACTCCAGTCCTCAAGGGCCAGTGTCATGAAACTTTTCCATGTGTCCCTGGTGCAACACACCTGAATACAATTAGTAGGTCATTAGCAAGAGTATAGAACTTGACTGCGTGCTGAAGTGGCGACCCCTGACAAGGATGCCCCCTGGGCGCCTCCTGGGTGAGGTGTTCCAGGCATGTCCCACCGGGAGGAGGCCCCGGGGCAGACCCAGGACACGCTGGAGAGATTATATCTCTCGGCTGGCCTGGGAACGCCTTGGTATTCCCCCGGATAAGCTGGAGGAGGTGGCTGGGGAGAGGGAGGTCTGGGCCTCTTTGCTTAGGCTGCTGCCCCGCGACCTGGCCTCGGATAAAACGGATGAATATGGATGGATGGATGGGTTTGTATAACTTTTCTCCCTTAATCAATGAATCATCATTTTAAAAATGCATTTTGTATTTATTTACCTTTGTCTAATATTAAAATCTGTTTCATTATCTGAAACATGTAAGTGTGACAAATATGTGAAAAACTAAGAAATCAGGAAAGTGCAAACACTTTTTCACACCATTGTACGCTTAAAAGCCAGGCCCATGCCAGGGAACCAACAGATTTAAACTAACTCTGCCAACACTGCCAAGAAGAATGTTGGTTAATGGGTACCAAAAGCATGCCACTGAGGTGCAACTTGCCACGTCACATTAAACCAAATATTACTGGGCGTACGTACATATATTAGAATGTATGTATACTTTTGACATTTTGTGGATTAGAAAAAAATCCAAAATAAAATCATAATTTGTGCACTCAATCTTATATTTTAAAGTAAGATGTCTGTTGCATAAACATTCAAGCCCATGATGAACGTATGTAAACATCTGACTACAACTGTAAATAATCCTATACACTGCACATCTTTAGAAACCTGCGGATACCTAGAAGGTTTTAGCACAATCAGAGTGATGACTTCCTGTTTTCCATCCAACCTGAAATGAGCACAGATACATTTTAAAAACTGCACATTCTTTAGATTTCATATCAGTACAAGGGATAAAGTATTACTGGAGCATTTATGTTCAGACCTACAGTCCAGCCCATGGGGGGGGGAGTAGCATTCTGGCAGTGTTTTTTCTGAGGAAACATATAATTTAAAAAGGGGGACCAGTTTATTTGCAAGTCAAAGTAAAGAGGAAGATATCAAAGGTATATTTGTCAGCAAAATAATGACTGTAAGTTCAAGTTGCTGTGAAACTCAACAACGCAGAACATATTCTCATTTGGGAAATAGAAGCTGGAACTTATTAAGTTTTAGGTTGTGATAAGTAAGCTTGCTCCATTTTCATTTGCAGGCTCCCTTTTCTCCTTAGGATAATGTTACCATTGGCTGTAAACCATTGCCTGATGTTTGCCGTGGAGCTAATGCTTCTGTTGTACAGCACAGGTAAGTAACAAAATCTAGCTTAAAAGAAACCAGTATTTCTCAAAATATTTTTCTCATATTTTTACGTTGAAATTTTTTAGGCACAAATGGAGACAGTAAATCCAATAATACCCTCTTTATCAGTCCCAAAACACTAGCTGATTCATATTTTCCATCAAGTAAGTTAAAAACAATACAGGAAAAAATCATCATTAGGTTAAAGGACAAACTTAGTAATCTGGGGTTTTATATTTTAATTTAGAAACTATCTACCAAGAGGACAATGGAACTAAACTCTGTTTCAACATCCAACCAAATAATACACGTGCAGGTACAGTTATCTAATTTTTAGCTTTTCTTTTTTTTTTGCTTTCAAGCTGTTGGGGAAAAACATTTGTCTTGGTTATTTGCTAAATGTGTTTGTGCTTTAAATTTTTCTTAGAGTGTTGTAACGACACGGATTTCAACTGCAATATTGAAGTAAAAATAGATAGTCAAGGTAAATACAGGCTAAATTTAACTGAAGAGATTTTATCCAAGCAAGATATTGTGGTGATGAAGGATCCAGAGCATAATTATTCATGTATGCCATCCCAGCTCTACAACAAAAGCAGCCTGGTAAGCCTCTAAGAAGTGAGTTAGTGCACAGTGGTCAAATTTTAAGTTTATTTGATCAGTTTGAAAAGGTTTCCAACCAATGATCTGATGCACTTTCCATCTTGTTGCAGGTTTTTTTTGTAACATCAACCGCTGCTTGAGTGAAAGTAAATTCACAAACCTTTTCCTCTTAATTTCTACATGAAACAATGTGACAGCAGTGACAGTGCACAAGTTCTAATTTCATACTTTTATGTGTTCAAGGTATGAAGAATATGAGTATGAATATGAAACTGAGCAAAGGGAGCTTTCGTGAAAACCTCACAGGTATAATTATTTGTTTATCAAATCAGTTAAAAACAAATATTTAATGTTAGCAAGTGTAACAACAGCCCGCTTGTGTTTGTGTGTGTGTGTTTGCATACTTTGTGTACATTTACATAAAACAGAATATGTCGTGAGTGATAATGACACATGGACTGTGTCATGCAACCCATCCACAACAACCACCAGCATCAATTCTTCCAGCGAATCTTCCACAACAACCACCAGCATCAATTCTTCCAGCGAATCTTCCACAACAACCACCAGCAATGACAATGACACTATTGACATTTCCATCAACCATACCATTCCTAACCCAGTGTAGATATCTCAGTTTTCATAGAAATATTTTTGCAATATTGTGCACTTTTGAAATCTACTTTAAGAAACTAACTGTGTCTCCGTGTTACAGAGACGTCATGAAAAATCTATCCTTTGTCCTTGAAATGATGGGTAATTTTGGCACAGCAACAATCAAGATGGGCAACATCACAGGAGTGATTGCCAAACTCTCCCAGAAAAATCAAGCCAACATGAACTTTGCCTTCACAGAAAACGCTGGCGTGAAGGTAAGGTGTTTGATAAAAGAGCGTGACACAATTTTAAGACTGTGGATTACTAACTCTCTAATGTCTGAGGCATGGAATAATTGCCAGAAAATCATATTTCTGAGTTCAGTGAAAATTACTCTGGTTATTGAACATTCTGATGAAATACAAAAGATACTTTAATGCTCATTTGCATATATTAGTTTTAATTTGTATAATACATATGCATGACATCATTATTTTATAATTGTTTTTGCTGATAAACATTTCTCATTTTGAAAGATTGTTAAAGGAGGAAACAGCAATTTTACAGGCCCATTTCGTTTAATGAAAATTCCTAAAGAGGCCAGTAAAATGGCGGTGGAGGGAAATGGATCATTTCTTGGAATTCTGTTGTTTCCACAGCAGCATGCGGTAATAGTACAGCTCAACTAAAAACTTACTTTTCATATGTATAAACATATTGACCAAACCTGATCTATTAACAATCTTTTAATCTTAACAGGATGACAGCAGTAAATACTATTTAAACAGTGAGATAGTGGGAATAGAAATGGGGGCAAAAATACAAAACCTTTCACAACCCATCGAGATTCAGTACAGTAATGTGGACAAGGTAAGTGTGATGTCATAACAGAAATAATGATCAATTTAAGTTCAGAGGAAAACTTATTCTGATTTTCATTTTCTATTTTGATAAAGAAAGGAGCGAATGCTTCTTGCATGTCTTGGGATGGAAACAGCACAGATGCAAACGGTAAAAAACCCCAAATAGATCTCTCTATATATATATCTAATTTTAATATGAAAACCACAGGAATTATAGACCTTTGAAGTGTTCACTCACATTTTGCACACACGCTGATTACTGTGATAAAGTCTGTCTTTAACAGTTACTTCTTTGTATTACTGCTGTCCAACAGGGAAATCACTCTGGATCACAGATGGCTGTCAAACAGTGGAGACCAATAACAGCATCACCTGCCAGTGCACACATCTAACCTTTTTTGCCATACTCATGGTAAGACAGCTGTATAGGAAATAAGAAATTATTTTTTTTACAGCACATACTGACACATAACTATTTGAACCTAGTCACCTACACCTGCAAACATTAGCACTTCTGATGTTAATACTCTGACCTACATCACTTCAATCGGTTGTGGACTGTCGCTGTTTTTCTTGATCGTCGGTCTCGTCATGCACGTTCTCGTCAGGTAAGAGATCCGAGGCAGTTTGGATTTTTACCTCAGTAAAGTCCTTTTTCTTACGCACACTAATTTGCTCCACAGAAAGGGGAAAGCAAGCGAAGCAACAAAGATTCTGATGAACCTCTTTGTCGCCATGTTGATCCTGAACTTGTCCTTCTTGACCAATGAGAGCATTTCAAATCTGGGTATCAAAGGTGCATGTGTGGCAATAGCAGCAGTTCTGCACTACGGGATGTTGGCCACTTTTACCTGGTTCTTCATGCAGGCTTTACACTTGTACCTCAGTCTACGTCGAATCTGCACTGAAGTGAAACATTACATGCTGAAGATTTGCATCACAGGATGGGGTAAGAGACCTGAGCCAAAAATGATACTTATGCTCTCATATTATGAATAATAATCACAGGAGAATTTATATTCCTAATCTTCTCTTTAGTCATACCGGCTGTGGTGGTGATCGCTCTTCTTGCCTCCCAGAAATATAATTCTATTAATATTAATACAAATGAGGGGAAAGCAGCAACAATGTAAGTCTGTAAATCTGATAATAGATTTCTTGGATAAAACACAAACATCTTCATCAGAGGATCACGTTGTACTCCCTTTTTCAGGTGCTGGATCTCTGATGCTGGTATCCACCAGGGGGTCAACATTGGTTATTATGCTGTAGTGTTCGTCTTCACTCTGAGTGTATTCATTCTAACTGTAAGGCAAATCGTTCTAATGCCAAAAGCAGGAAAGGCCCAAGACAATAGTTCCATTAAGAGCAACACTTCCACCATTCTGAGCCTGTTCCTCCTTCTTGGCATCACCTGGGCTTTTGCTTTCTTCAGCTACGGACCTTTGCTCATCGCTTCCTACTACATCTTTACCATCCTCAACTCCTTTCAAGGTAAATCTAAAACTGTCACAGTGAGCTGACTTCATTCTTTATTGGATTAAAAGTCCTTAACCTTCTTCTTTATTTGTATAGGTTTCTTCCTGTTCATCTACTATTATAAATCCGCTGAATGGCTTTTCTGACATGAAAGCACTAACCCAGATTACCTTCTTTGACGCAAATACTCATGTGGACTAGAGCTCGAGTCAGTACTCTGGAAGTCATTTCAGAGCACGACTCTATGTTTGTTCCCATGCTTTTATATTTTAACAGACAAACTTGTCTTACTCACGCCAAATAATTCATAGAAGGCTGTGATTCAGTCAGAATACGCAACCACAATTGTAAACATGTCAGGATGTTAAGGTGTAAAATGTTAAAGTGGGAAAGTGAAACATGTCAAAGACATAAGGACATTTTCAATTTGATGGCAGTAACACCTCTCAAAAAGTTGGGACAGGGACATGTTGACAACCCGCTTTCAAGTCAAAAAGTCGTCATAAATAAGTCTCCAATAACACCAGAAAAAGTCGCCAGATTTGTCGCTAGTTGCTTTTTAGAAAAAGAGTCGCTAAGGGGGTCTGAAAACTCGCTAAATATAGCGACAAAGTCACTAAGTTGGCAACACTGGTGCTACTGCTGTTGCGAGTGTAACTACCGCCCCCGCCCCCTCAGCTCAGGGAGGGGCGCAAACACAAGGCTTTGTTTGCCGTCTCTGCTCAGCGCAAACACAAGGGTGACTTGCAGCATAAAGTGAAAGAGAGGGCAAGAGAAAGAAAAAAAAAAAACCCACGGCTCCCAATAAGGAGCCGGCTCGCATTGTTCACTTCAAAGATACGGCTCTAAGAGCCATTTCGTTCGCGGCCGACCCATCACTACAAGTGATATTCCTAAAACTTTTCCACTCAGGGGCCGAGTCATTCTCTGAGATCTGCTGCTGCATCTTCTCAGAGCGCTGATATTTAGCAATGTCCACTTCTTTATTGAACCTGTACTTGGCCTCTCTGTAGCAGTCCCTGTCTCCGCTTCTGAACGCCTTTCTCTTTTCCAGCCACAGCTTTTTGGGTTTAGGAGTAAAACAGGGTTTGTCATTGTTATAACTCACCCTGGTGCGTGATGGCACAATGCTGTCCTTGCAGAAGTGGATATAGGAGGTGACAGTGTCCATAAACTCATCCAAGCTGTTAGAAACAGCCTTCATTGTGTCCCAGTCTGTAGACTCCAAACACGTGCGAAGCTCCTCCACAGCCTCATTGCTCCACAGTTTTTTAGTCCTCATGACAGGTTTGGAGAGCTTCAGCCTCTGTCTGTACGTAGGGATCAGATGGATCATGACGTGGTCAGAAAGTTCGAGTGCAGTGCAGGGTAACACTGGTCCAGTGTCCTCTCCTCTCTGGTCGGGCATTTAATATACGGTTTATATTTGGGAAGTTCCTGGCTTAGATTGGCTTTGTTAAAGTCCCCAAGAGCCATAATGACAGTGTCCGGGTATGCCTGATCCATGTGCAGTACCTGCTCCTCGAGGGCACACTGAGCTGCATGCAAATCTGCATCTGGCAGAATGTAAACAGTGGCCATAAAGAATGAAGCAAACTCCTGCAGAGATTAAAGCATAGAAGATAGTGCTTGTGTGAATGGTGCATGTTGCATTGAGTGCTTTGAGTACCCCGGGAGAGTAGAAAAATGCTATTTAATAATCTTAGCATTCTCTTGTTGAAATATCCAAGCAATTCCTCGAAAAAGATGTCTGCATGGGAGAACATGTTGATATAAAACCTTTACATACAGTACCTCTCAGGATTGATGGTGCCTTTTCAGATGTAAAAGCTAGGCATTAAATTTATGGTGAGGATCATTATTCTTTATTCACTATTCTGAAATTGTCCCACAATTTGAAGACAACAGCATCCACGGTGGGGAAAGCTCAACTGGCAAACAAGACATGAGCTCAACACTACCTATAGTGATAAGATCCCTGAAGTTATTCGGATGTTGAAACTATTCTTTAAAATGTACCACATTTTATGAGCATATGGATAGGATTATCTCCCTTTTTCTTTCTCTGCACTACATATTTTATTTTGTATATATGTTACTTATTTATTGTGTTTTGCCTGCCTTATTTTAGTATCACAGTGGGACAATTTTGTTGTACCCATATATACAAAGTACAACTGTGCAATGACAATAAAGAGTTAAATATGTTCAGTGTATTTTGACAAACTCCTTTGCTTGTGGTAGATTTTTTTGTCAAGTTAATCATTAGTATTTATTTATAAAATAGCTTTTTGAAATAAAAATTGTAGCAATTCTTTAAAATTTACCATATTTAGGTAAATTAAGGTCTGATTTGTTCAATGACTTTTTACTATGTTAATATATTTTTCATTCAGAAATCTTCTGATTGGCTTTTTTAGTTCTCATTTTTGTGGTTTTATTGTAGTAGTAAATGGAAATGTTGTAATAACTTTTTTTCTATTTGATCAGGACACAATATTTCATACATATAAGTAAAGTATTGTGGGAAAAAATGATGTGTATACACAATAAAGTCTTAAAATAAAAGATTATGCTTTTCTTTAAATTTTGGTTATTAATGATTTCTTCAAACTACTCTTTTTACAGTGTGTAATGATTGTACCGCACATATCTAGAGTGATTTTATAAAATAACTGAAAGTTGCAGCAGTGCACATGGACAAGCCAAATGCATTCTGGAGAAGGGTTTTATGGTCAGACTAGACAAATACTGAGCTATTTGGTCACAATGAAGAGAAGCACATTTAGAGGAGTATAGGGAGTACCAGCTGTCAAACACGATGATGCATCCTGTAGGATGAGCATCATTCTCTGGCACAGTGCTGTTTGTTATGATGATTTCTGATATGAGGTTCAGTTCTACGGTGATGATCGCAGGGTGTGCACAGGTCAAGTGCCACTATGACCCTCCAGACAATAACGAGGACAGGGGATGACCGTTCAGCTCTTTAATGGCAGATTTAGCGTGGGTGTGGGTATGTGTGTGGTTCTACAAACAGAATGGAAAATAGAACACAAATTACAATCAAATTATAGACAACAATAATCACCATATAACATATTACAGCCACATACTTGTCTTATAGGCCCTAATACTGAGCTGGCGGCTTTTACTTATAGTCTGAACCATATTTGGCAACAAAGAAAATAAGTCAAGTCAAGTCAAGTTTATTTATAGAGCACATTTAAAAACAACCAAGGCTGACCAAAGTGCTGTACAGTAAATACAGATAAAAATACAATAGAACACAATTTCGTAAAACACCTCGTTGATCAAATAAAAAATAAATAAACAAATAAATTAAACCTTTCTAAAAGCCAATGAAAAGAGGTGAGTTTTAAGAGCAGTTTTAAAAGTTTCTAGGCTTTTGGAGAATCTGACGTGAGGAGGTAAACTGTTCCACAGTCTGGGTGCAGCCACAGCAAACGCCCTCTCTCCCTTTGTCTTTAATTTATACCTGGGAACATCTAAAAGCATCAGATCGGCTGACCTCAAAGATCTCCTGGGGCGATAAGTACTAAGGAGTTCTGACAGGTAAGAAGGTGCAGTGCCATTTAAAACCTTAAAAGCCAGCAGTAAGATTTTAAAATCAATCCTAAAAGCAACTGGGAGCCAGTGGAGAGAGCAGAGAACCGGAGTGATGTGGTCTCTTTTTTTTGAACCGGTCAACAGGCGAGCGGCAGCGTTCTGCACCAGTTGAAGGCGATGTAGACAGGAACGATCTAGGCCAGCATAGAGGGAATTACAGTAGTCCAGCCGTGAAGTAATAAAAGCATGGACCACTCTTTCTAGATCGTTCCTGCAAAGGTAAGACTTGACTTTGGCTAAAATCCGCAAATGATAAAAAGATCCCTTAACTACAGAGCTGATTTGTTTATCAAGTTTAAAAGCATTGTCAAAAATAACTCTTAAGACTCTTAATGGAAGAAGTGCAATCGGAGGTTAGGGGTCCCAAAAAGTCAAGAGAGAAGTTGGGATCTTTAGGAAGCCCAAACACAATGACTTCAGTTTTGCTTTCATTAAGGTGTAAGAAGTTAAGAGTCATCCAAGTCTTAATGTCAGACAAGCAGGAGAGTAGCGGCTGCAAAGAAACATTGCAGTTCAACCTCAGAGGGAGGTAGATCTGAATATCATCGGCAAAGATGTGGAAGGACACATTATGTTTACGGAGCACATCGCCCAGAGGGAGCAAGTACAGAATAAACAACAGGGGGCCTAGTATGGACCCCTGAGGTACGCCACAGGTTAAAGGAGCTCTGGGAGATGACAGTTCACCAAGGTGAACAGAAAAACTCCTATTATTCAAATAGGACTGGAAAAACTTTAAGACAGTGCCCTTTAAACCGACACAATGTTGAAGGCGGGCTAGCAGTATGTTGTGATCTACAGTGTCGAAGGCTGCTGTCAGGTCCAAGGTTACTAAGACAGCAGCACAACCAGAGTCAACAGTTAAAAGCAAATCATTAAAAACTCTCAGTAGGGCGGTTTCTGTGCTATGCCGAGCTCTAAAACCAGACTGGAACTTCTCATAGAGATTGTTATTGTCAAGAAATAGCTGGAGCTGCGTGAGGGCGGCTCGTTCCAGTACTTTGGACAGAAAAGGGAGGTTGGAAATGGGCCTATAGTTAGAGAGTAGGGATGGATCTAGATTAGGCTTTTTAAGGAGAGGTTGAACAACAGCGTGCTTGAAGGGTGTTGGAAAGCAACCAGAACTGAGGCAGGCATTGATCAGGACCAGAAGGAAAGGTCCGACTGAGTCCAGAACCTGCTTCAGAAGCCGAGAGGGGATAGCATCGGTGGAACAGTTGGTAGTCTTAACCTTGCAGACTATTTCATGCAGCTGAGAGAGAGAGATTGGTTCGAACTGATTAAAGGCAGAATGGCACAAAGAAAAAACACAGGGATTGGAAGGTGGAGATGGAATGACAGACTGCAGGGAGGAAATCTTGTTTACAAAGAACTTTAGAAAGTCATTACAGAGGGTGGCAGAAGGTGTGAGGCTGGTGGATGTGTAAGGATTAACAATGGAATTTAAAACACGAAACAGAGTCTGAGGTTTATGGACACTACTGCTAACCAGGTTTGATATGTAGGAGGACTTGGC